GGAATGATCAGAGTCAATCATGGAGGACTGATCTACTCAATCGGAAGGTGTGTGACAAGTTAGTGAGGTAAAATGTCTTTTGTCTCCCCAATTGAGGTACCAATACCATCTCCATGTTGGAAGACACAATGAGTAGTCCTTGCCATGTTCAATGACATCTCAAAACGGATAGGGGTGGTGAGTGTGTGCTTACAATTGTCTCGTTTAGACATTTCCACGACGAGCTTATTAGCCTCTTAATGTGACTTGCTGCTTCTTCTTCTGATACTTGCTCTTCCATCATGCAACACTCGATGGATTTTGATACATCCCCTCTCGCACTCTCAACCTTCGACATGCACAAAAACAGTTAACTTTTATACTTAAAAAAAGACAAACTTCATTTTACCCTCTTGTAATTTATCATCCGATAAATTTTGAAACTAGAACATAACTCTCTTATAATTGTTGGATTAAAAGACACAAACACATTTTCATCCAATTTAATCGGTTCGTATAAAAGTCACGTGTTGCAATTGGTATGAACAAAACAGGTTAAAAGTACAAAATATCCTCAAGTTTTATCGCCACCCTCTCTCTTCTCCCTCTTCGACACCCCCCCCCCCCCCCCCTTTCTTCTAAATCCCTTTTAAAATTTCCCTCAAGCAAAGAAACCATCTATTTCTCTCTGTCATATCATCAAATTGCACACACAGTAGACGCGTGACGTATGCAAACTGTGTGTTATGAAGATTATGACAATCAAGTGCACATACCTTGTAGGTACCTAAATCATCGACAAGTTGAGCAATCAAAGATGACCAATACAGTGTGTCAGAGGCAAGCTTGAAGCACTCGAGAGAATTCCTTGTCATGGGGAACCCTAGCAGCACATAAGCATGGAAAATGGTTGAATGGACAGCTACCGTTGTGGCAAGCATTTCTCAAGTACTCAATCAATGTTGGCGTATGACCACAGTAAAACCACCCGCTTCTAGCAGATATGAATGACAAAGATCTATCCACAACAAGTTGAGTTTTAGCGGATTCAAATAAAAAATGGGTGGATCCGTTAGATTTGTCAAATAAATAAGTCGACATGAACTCGACGAAAAATAGCACATCTGCTATCACAACTTGTATACGTTTCATATAAAATATAAGATACAAATTAAACATGACACAAACCTATATATACATGAATATGAATGGATAAAGTATGAGTTGAACAAATTTTTATCCGATTTGATTTTAACACGACACGAATCAAACACAATACGAAACATTGAGACCCTTACACACAACCAAACTTCATCTACTGTTGGGAGTTGTTCAATCCAAGCTTTGGTTAGCATGCACCAAGGATAGGCAATGAATATGCAATTACAGTATTTATGCATTAGCTCATAAAAGTACTATCTTAACGTATAAGCCTTTTGCTTACCTCTTTCTTAATGTAGGGAAGAACATCCAGGCCATGATCTTTTAGAACATCACTGGCAATCTCATTTCCAAAATTGAACATGGCCAAATAACATAGCTTCATGTACTCAGGAAGGTCTTCCATGGCCTCAAGGTCCCATCTGATAGAATAAACTGATCGAACAAGCCATTAAACCACAGTTGAATTCTTATCGAGACCTAAAGAGCAAATTGGACAATGTGTGTTGTTATGTTCACATAATCATACCGATCTACTGCATCAGTGAAGCATTGAAGCTCATCTAGTGATCCATATACATCATACATGTCATCGATCGTCGGCACTATGCAACTCATCTTGGTGAGGCCTTTCCTGGATTCGGAGAAATGGGGCTCAGAAATTATTCCCACTGCACACAAATAAAATTCCACTAATTGATCCCCGGCAAAGCTCAAGTTTTCTTAAATCCAGAGTCCTTCCACCACCTAAACAGAAAAGTTCGCTTAATTCTTGTCATAAATCTCAATTTGTTCTTCATTAAGATATATTTTTGTCAATGTTAAACTTACACTGTAAGTTCCTTTAATTCTTTCTGATATATGGATTGCACTAGGTTGTAATCCAATTTGGCAAACTTGCTCAAAATCAAGCTGCATTCATCGTCAACTGCATAGAGATCAATGAAGTTCCGTGCTTCTAACCTTTGCATTCTCCAGTGCAAAGAAGTCTCCAGTGAGTGTTTCACCTGATCAGCCATATTACTTTCCAGCTAAGGACATTAGATGTTTAATGCTGAAGTTCTTGGCTTCTTCCAAATCATCTTCACTGTTCATTCCAAGGTGTGAAGCTTCATACAAACTCAAAAGACCTGTCACATCCTTGCTTAAGCTGTCCATGAATCTCCCATTCCCATCTTGGAATTTGTCAAACACGCCTGATCATTTTGTATCATCACCCAAAGTTATATTGAAATAAATTCAACCAAATAAGCTGTCTATATCAGAAAGAAACATTTATTTCTAATAAAACCAACATAGGTTGGGACGAGGCATGTCTTAAGGATGTTAGTTCCACCACCTGCATAAACTCTGGTATAATCAATGCGCGTGATTTAGAGATGATGTGTGCATATGAAATTTATGTTGCAATTATGAATCCAAATGGCAAGTAACTAGAACGATTCAACATTAGCGACACATTATTATTTACAGTATAACTTTTCTGCTACCTGAGCAAATTGGATGACCATGTTCTCTCATAAGTCGAAATTGCAATGCAGTTGTGTATAAATCACCCATCACTACATCACGAACTTGATTAAGACTATCTCGGATCTCTTCTTCAAAATGGTAAGCCACCCCCAGTCGCTGCATTGAATCAATAAGCTTCAATTGAGCACAAGGTTCTTTTTCAGAGGTAAGTAACCCTCTAGCTTTTTGCTTCAGCTCCTCCAACGTGGTGCCATAGAGCTCATACTGCATGTAAGATAAGTCAGCCTTAGCTAATACCACATGTAGTGACTCAATCTAAGAAATATCAAAAGTAAAAGGGCAAATTTCTTTATTTTTTCTGCAATCAAATAAAATTTATTTTTGAAAGAAGAAGACATACATCCCAACTAAGTGTGGTAAATGAGCCGAATGAACGAGTTTGAGTCCGAGCGATAAAACAAGCTTAAAAAAGTGTTGAACTCGATTCGTTCTTGTTTCTAAATGAACGAGTTCAAAACAAGTCCAATTCAACTCGAGCTTGAGTAGCTCAAATCGTTTATTATCCTAATCCCAACCCATTAAGTATTTGAATCAAGCATTCCGATGTTAAATCTGTTTTCCCTAAACTAATATGCATCACTAGCAGTATCGCCACAGCAAATCGTATATATCCTATTCCTAGCAGTGAATATTAGTGAAGCTTTTATTTTCTATCTCCGTTGAAGCCCCAGATCAAATGAGGAGATACTGATCATATGAGACAAATTACAATTCTAGCAAGACCGAACCAGATTTTACAGAGGGAACCAAATAATAACTAGTTTTAATTTTATCGAAGGGGATTAATAAACTAATAATTACTACTGGGTCACCGAAAAGAGTAATGAAGAATACCAACAATTAATTATTGAATAAAATACAATGCCTAAAACATTTAAGGATCCCACTTATCGAAAAAACCCATTATAGGATCCCACCCTTTAGGCTCTCATATGTCGATCGATAAAAGAGAGAGAGAGAAGATAGAACCTCAGCAACAAATAGATGGAAATCGAAGCATTATCAGAGCTCCAGTTTCCAGGCTTAGTTGCAATCAATTCTCACAACACAAAGTGAAAACTAAGGGAATAACTGAAGAAGAGGAAGAAGAGTGAGATTCCGAGACTCTATTCCAATTGCAATGGCTTAATTTCTAGGTTTGCTTGCAATTTCTTCTTCTTGTTCTTGCACAATATCATATGGGTACTCTGTGGGAAACTGGAAAATTGCTCGCAGTTTGCTTTGCATGTGGGTTTCTCACAAATTTGTTCATCTTTGGTGTGGGTGTTGGCTTCATCTTTTTTTTTTCCTTGTCCTTTTACCGATTTGCCAGTGGCTTGTTATTTTTGACTTGTTTGTGTGATTTTCAACACGAATCGTTTGACTCAGTTACGAGTCAGTCTGAGTTAACCGAGTTAAGTTCGAGTTGTACTGATTTTACTGAGTTGTCTTTGAATTAAGTTTGATTTGAGTGAGACTCAGAGATTTTGTGTAACGTGTATCGTTATTGTTTTGGTAGAGGTCGAGTCGTATCGGACTAGACTGATACTTTGAACCCTAGGAGAAATGTAAGGACCTTCATATGGTTTTTGACTGGACGTGAATCGGTACGCCTATCGTTAAATGATATGTGGACAGGGATGGGTCTCACAAAGAGTATTCAACCCCCTTGGGCAGGCGAGACCATGCCGAGCTGTCAGACTGAACCCCATGAACTCTCTTGGGAATACTTATAGGACCCAAGAGATATTTGTCCCCGAGCCCAAAAAGTAATGGTGATCTGACATAAGGGCCCGTTGACTTGAAGGGTAGTAGGAAATGATTAGCTACACCGTCATCGCCTCGTGGGGACCCTCACCCAATCTCGCGAATACTGTCTAAAAGCATGACCCTTTCTTACGAGGCTTGTCGGTGTGCGTCAGTAGTGCTCGGTGTTCACCATTTAAATGTTCGGCTCAGCTCATTAAATGCCTAGTAGAGCTCATTGAATGCTTGGACATGGCTTATTAAATGCTAGGATCTCCCGAGAAGGTAATTATTGCGGTTTTTTACCTCAAGTGACTGCTGGCCCTCCCTAGGCCTTGTAAATGTGCGGCTCGAGGGTTGGAATAGCTGGCTGGCTTGATGTGACCCTCTGGACTCCACATCATCATCTCTCAAGGTATAAATAACCCAAAAAGGTTGGGTATTAGGTACGTATACAGAACTCAACTTTTACTGTAGCACTTATATCCTCTCACTTGAATGCAGATTGACTTAGGCATCGAAAGGAATATGTTGATCTCAAGGTCAATCAATTCAGGTGTGGCTGTCTCAATAATTGCATAGAAATCACCCTGTGTAGTTTTTATAGACTTAGAGAAGACATATGATAGAGTTTCTATAGATATATTATAGAGGATTCTAGAGAAGAAAAATGTTATTATTATGTATATTGATATGATTTAGGATATTTATGAAGTTGTAGTGACTTTAGTGAGAACAATGATAGGAATGATTAATGAATTTCTAATTACCGTAGGCTTACATTAGGTTTTGCTTTGTGTCCATATCTTTTTGTGTCAATTATGGATAAATTGACTAGGCACATTCAGGATGAACTCACATGATGTATGTTATATGTAGATAATATTATATTAGTTGATGAAAGTAAAGAAAGAATTAATAATAAACTAGAAATATGACGAAAAATTTTAGAATCAACAGGATTTATGGTAAGTAGGACTAAAATTGAATATATGTGTTGTTTAATGTATTATTTTTAGCTTAAGGGTATTTTAGTACTTTATGATTTTGATTATATATAAACAAGTTGAGTGTAGTTGTGTAACCATACACCACTCCCTTCCCATATTCTTCTCTTTCTCCCTTCTTCTTTTCTTCAAAACCCTAACGGCTCTACAATCTAACTATATGGCATGTAACTTTAGTAAAAGAATGAAATGAAACTGAGAAGTAGTAAAAATTGAAGATCAAGAAATACCTTGTAATGATTATAAGATATTTCTTTCGTGATATTGGCATCAAACAATTCTAAAGTGAATCATTTTTGGTTACTTTTTTCCGCCAATGATACATTGGCCCTTCGATAACGACTTTTTGTGTGGATATGTTGGTGGCAATTGGTAGCTGTAAGCTATATCTATGGGATAATGCTTCCTTGAATATGTTTCATGGAATTAATCAAAATATGCTTCATAATATAGCTTTACTATAACTTGTTTGCTTGGAGCGTTGTAGATCAGCTTTTATTGTTTCTCTCTGTCTCTCTCTCTCTAGCCCGCGTAGTAAGTTTTTTTTGTTTTTACAATGTTGCTTGATCCGTCTCTTCAACCAAGTTAGGACCTATTAAAAGTATACCAGTCAGTCTGGTGGACAGGAACTGGTTTAGATCAACCTTGTTGGTTTGTTGGATATGGATGATTTGACATCAATATGTAAACAGGTTGGGTTCCAATCAGGTTATGTACCTGAAGAGCTTTAATTTTGAAATGGAGGCATCAATCAAATTGGACCTGCTAGTGAACTTCTAATTATTACACTCAATAGCACACTTTTTAATTAATTCTTTTTTTTTCTCATTCGAGTTGTTAGACTTATGCCCTTCATAATGGGAATTAGGCCTAGTTTATGCCTTTTCATCCTACTAAGTATAAAGATGGTTGTTTGTTTTGTAGTCTCACCCATCTTCTGAATTGACCTTAATCCAGACCTGCTTGAATCTGATCCATTACTAGATCACCTCTTAACATGTTAATGTTATGTGCTTCTGCAACTGAGTTGTGGACTTTGTTTGCTTGCACTCTTGGACTATTATACAAGGAGGGTAACCGGGTTCTAAAATCTTCTCTTTATTTTCAGGCGATAATGTTGTATCTCATATTGCAAGGTCTTGCCCCACTTAAGGAAGTTTATGCTCTCTTTTATGCAGATTCCAAGACTTTGAAAGAAGAAAAGCGGGAAGAACTATTTGAAAATTTAAAGGCTGATGAATCGATTGGATGGGCTGTTGATGTCATCGATCCAAGGGAGCTTTCAGCTAAAATGTTAAAGAAGTCAGTTGAGAACTACTGAAAGCCTTTTGTCTATTTAAGCAGTTTTTTGGCTTGACTTCTAGTTGAACTTTTACAGAATTAAAATAAATCTTAATGAAATATCGCATGATTCCGCCATTGGCCTCGTCAGTAGGGTGCTGAACATTGGAGTTCTTCTAACTGAGGTAAATAATCTTTCAACTTATTTATGATGACCTGTTCCCAACGAAACTGTTACTCTACGTCCCACTTGGGAGAAAAATGTTCTTAATTACTAGAACATGCATAGGTAAGAAAAGGTGAAAATGTTTTTAACTGGTTTGGATCTTTAGGGATATGTTTTAGGATGTCATTCAAGATAGTAATGAAATTATATGATTTTGGCGTGAGGGTAAATATTAATTATCAAATGTAATATTATCACATCAAGGACAAGCCCCAATGTGCGAAAAGGGAAAAGAACATTAAATTTCTCTGGGTAGATCTGGCTTTAAAAAAGAGAATTAATTAACTGACATCTAAAAGGTATTTCAGATTTACGTGGATACTGTAGGAGATCCAGAAAAGTACAGAATTAAGTTATCTGAAAGATTTCCAGCTATCAAATTTGTGGTTGCAAAGAAAGCTGACAGTCTTTATCCAGTTGTAAGTGGAGCAAGCATAGTTGCGAAGGTGATTCTCTATATTCTGAACTCCCTCAAATTAAAGTCTTACTAAATGATTTTTAATGCCATGTTCACTCTACTTTTTAGGTCACAAGGGATCAAGCGCTGCGAGATTGGGTGCTTGATGAAACTGCTGAAAACATGCACAGGAACTTCGGATCGGGATATCCTGGAGGTAAGCATGTTGAACTTTTTTCATATTGCTGATTCTTTATTGTTTGAGTGATGTAAGCTACTCATGAACTTGGATGCACATTCATTTACTTAGATCCTGAAACTAAGGCTTGGTTGGCACATCACAAGCACTCAGTATTTGGATTTCCAACATTGGTCCGCTTCAGTTGGGGCACATGCACTCCCTACTTCAAAGAAATTGTTCAAGTTTTGTGGTGAGTCTTCATTATAAATTCTATTAGCCGTTTCAATTAGATTCTCATACACTCAAGTACACGAGCGCCCCTTGGTACATTGCTTTCCTTTATCATTTTCCTTGAGTGGTGTCAGTAAAATCAAAACAATTCTCCATGGGAGATACATACACAGTGGTGGAGCTACATGGTGATTAGTGGGGGCAGTTGGCCCCACACGATTTTTATTTGAAAAATATTTCTCATGCATTGTTAATATTTTTAAAATTTCTACCCCCATAAAAAGGTTTTACATGTCTCGCAATTCACTTAATTATCTTTCACATTTGAGTTAAATCTCTAAATTCTAAATTAAGTGAACTTAACTAATAATTAGTTAGTTGAATCCCTTTAATATGTTTTCAAGAGTAACATAAGGCTCTTTGTCCTCTTTCTGTCTCAACATCCCCTCCAAGTCTCTCATGCTATTAATTTGGATATATTGGGGAAAACACGTTTAATGATGTTGAATATGAAATCTAGTTCGAAAAAACTCTCAATGGATTCAACAAAAAGTATTACCAGTTGATATTTAAGTTTTTGAATTTGTTATTTGAGTTTTTTATCTCACGATTGCCAAAACTTTCCCCTGCTATATTGTATTCCTTGCTCTGCCCCTGTATGTAAGGAGCTTCCAACCAACTAATCTTTCTCTGAATCTGTAATGAGCAAAAATTTAAACTATCGGGCCACTAAGAGCAAAGATCAACTCATTCTACATGAACTATCTTACTAAGTTTCATGAGATGGATCTTAACTAATATCCAACAATGAAAAATATTTTGTTAATTATTCGATACACGAGGAAGGTATCCAAGCATCTTGTGAGTGTTCGCATTCAATACGTAGCAATATGGATATTTTGCACCAATTGAAGTGTCCGTGCTTTATATTATAAATTTAGGGACATTTTGCCATCTTAAATGGTTCACAAAACATGTAAAAGCCACTGCCCGACCTAATCTTTTGGCACGGTTTTGTACAATATGCCTGCTACAAGGCTTGAATTAACATATGCTTTGTTAATAGATTTGACGGCTGCTGAATCCATTACACAGTTTTATTGCATGGAGAATGGAAGTTGTCCATTACACAACTGTTCGCTGGAGAATGGAAGTTGTCCATTACACAACTGTTTTGCAGGGAGAATGGAAATAGTGACCCCTTCAGGACCGTTACGGACATGACCAGACTGGAGATTACCACCAACAGCCTGGCTCCCTGCTGCCTCACGACAATCAACACATATCCCAAGCTAACCATTTCCTGAAACACTCTCACACCAACTTCAGACACAAAGCTCACTGTCCCTCCACCAAGATGCCGTCAGAAAGCTACCATTGTGACCTTCATCATGATATTACTGTGAAAACTCCAAACCCAGTGTTATACCATTTGCAAAGTGGGTGTGGGTTAGTGTCAGAAGAGAAGAGTTTTGGGGCGAGAGTAAATGGTGGGAGAGAAGTGGATCCTGGGTTTGTTGTGGTGGTGGTGGTTGTGGTGTGCTGCTGGAAATAGGAAGTTGGAGAAAGGGAATGACAACAACTATTATGTTTGGTCTTGCTATTGTACTCCCAATAAGGGGATCTTCTTAGGTGTTTCCCAGATCTTTAGGCTTTTTTTAGTGCTGCCCAGCAGGCCAATAATGTTGATCCAGCTGCACATTTTATGTGGCCATGCGCTATGTTCTGCATTTGACCCTTCTCATGCACAAAATTGTTATCTTGGGCAAGGTTTTTGTTGGTTGACTTCTAACTTGGTCCTTTGCAGCTGTTTGTGTGAAAGGGCCTATATTAACGAATCACAAAATAAGATAAATTACTTTGACACGTTAAAACTATCTATATTAGGGAAATTGCTCAGTTTGGTCTTGTTAATCAAGACTGTCGGCAGGGATACACGGATACAAACCTAATTTTTGGTATTATTTGCCAAAGTGCCTGCCGTCAAATTCAGAGTTTTTGCCGAAACTTTTACTTCTGTACCAGGCAATGACCTCTGCCAAAACTGTGTATGATACATTATGATTCATTATAAAGTTGATCCCCAAAAAAGAAATAATCACACCTCTGGTTTGTGTTATTGTTACGTAATGTCTGTTGTGCCCCGTGCCTGTTACAGGGCGACCAACCTTTAATGGTAATAGTGTAAGTTACCGTTGTTCAAATCATAAACAAATTTGTGTTGCCATGCTTACATGCGAAGCACTTTGCCCTTAAACCAAGCAATAGACCCTAGGGGTGCACATGCACATTGACCATTTATATATTTTGATAGCCTAATGTCATTTGATTGTATTTTGTGGTTTCTATAGGGAGTCCGATGCAATGGATGAAGACGCTTCCACTCATAGGACTGGCAAGCGGCAATTAAAATTGACAAGTGTTGGTTTCACTGGGCTCAAGAGGAAAAGTGAAGAAATTGAATCAAGTGGCAAAGGTCGCTGCAAATTTTTCCAATCTCGCAAACTTGAGCAAATGTCTCACTTCTAAACATGAAGTTTGGAATTCTCAGGAAGTATTTTGTCTTTGTTTCACAACCTTTTGCCCTCCGGTGTCTTGCATCTTGTAACTTAGATCCTAATCTCCAACTCAATTAATGATTAAATCATGCCTTTGCATGGATAGTTGTTGATGGGTTGGTATACATGATATGGTAGAACATGAGATATGTAACTTGATTAGACAGAATCTGGACTAGTTAGAAACCGAAGGCAAGGTCAGGGTATACATGACTCAATATTACTATTAGCAGACATTATCACTCATACAGTGTCTCAGTTCCTTGGTCCAGATTAGGGTATTTGGAAGATGACCTGCTTGCTCATCCATTGACTGTCTCCTTAGTGTCTCAAATGAGCATGGGGATTCTTTTCTGGCAATCCCTTAACCATCATTTGCCGAATTTCCTGAGAAATCCATCTTGTTGGTCAGCTTATCTACTCCATCCCTTATCTGTTTGCCTTCCTAGAAGATTCCAAACTGTTGTGTGCCTAATGCTTATCAGGTTAGTTTATTACATATGAATTCATAAAGCTGTCGGGTGAAGGATAATGGCAATCTTGTTCTCGTCATCATGAAGGGTTGGAGCTCAGGCAGTTTCTTTTATTTGACCACTCAATAGGAAGTAAGTAATCCTTCTTGCACTTCTGAAATTAATATTCGAATCACTGAGTTTTGGAGTGAATATTTTTGTAGAGGTTTGTCAGTTTGAACCTTTGATTGATTAATACCCAAAAGAACCCCTCTTGCATTGTAGGCCTCTTCCTTTTACAAATCATATGTTAGCTTTGAAACCCTTGCAAGACATGCTACAGCTTAACTGTCTGATTTTGGACCATTGTGTCTGATGTCCTGCTGTTGACTTCTTCCTTATGGCATCTTTCGGTTTCATACCTCACCCATCTTTAACTTGGTGATGAATATCTTTCAGCACCCAAAACCTCTGAGGAAC